AGTGGAAAGAACATTGGATTCAGAGTCAGAGGACCTGGATTTGAATCCTGATTTTGCCACTTCTTACTTGTGTGACTAAGTTTCCTTATCTGTAAAATGAGGGGAAAGAGTTGCACTAGATCAAAATCAAATAGAAATCCAGTCACTAAACCATTCATAAGAATCCCTGCAGGATACAAACCAACAGTTTTAAAATTTAATCTTATATGTTTTATTGTATTTTTATTTATTTTGTTAACTATTTCCTAGTTATAGTTTAATCTGGCTCAATCTGCCCTTAGGTGTAGAGTGGGCCACACAATTAACACCTCTGAAATGGATAACCTCTAATAATTTTTAATGATAGAAATCTATGCACTTTTGCTTATAGACTTCTTAGCAGCCTCCAAAGCTCTTCATCTATGCTCATGACAAACCATACTGCATGGATGGATATTACGATATTAACTCTCTCCCACTCAATTAATAAATTTACATTGGCTCCTAATTGCTTCTTGGAACAAATATATACCATAAGCCATGTGTTTTAAGGCTCTTCACCAATTATTACCTGTCTAGCTCTCTTCTTTTACCTCCTCTCTATTATTCAAACTTCCCACCCTTTTATTCAAAAACTTTATTCTAGCCAAGCAAACTGGCTTATAGTACCCTTGTGTATTTTTCTCATTACTGTCTCTGAATCTTTACATTTGACATTCCCATCACCTAGACTATACTGCTTTTTTTTCCATTAAAATTTTTCACTTTATGAAACTTTTATTTTCTCTCCCTCCTACCTTCCCCCTTCCCCACTGGGAAAAAAATGAACAAAAAAAAACCCCTGTAATAAATATTCGTAGTCAAGCAAAACAAAGAGCCATATTAGCAATGTCTAAAAATGTGTCTCATTCTGCATATTTGTCAAGAAGTGGACAATATTTTAATCATTAGTCTTCAGGAATCATGGTTAATGTCTGATCATTAATCAGAATTCTTAAATCTTTCACATTGGCAAAACTGACCAAAAAAGAAAAAGGAAAGTAATAAATGTAGGACAACAGGTACATTAAAGAAATATTGGTAGAGCTATGAATTGGTACAGTCACTTAACATTTAATAATTTATTTTTAGTTTTCAACATTCACTTCCGTAAGAATTTGAGTTCTAAATTTTCTCCCCATCTCACCCCTCCCCTACCCCAAGGCAGTATGCATTCTGAATACCCCTTCCCCTAATCTGCCTTCCCTTCTATCATCCCCTCCTTCTCTTATCCTCTTCCCCTTCTATTTTCCTGTATCGAAGGATAGATTTCTGTATACCATTGCCTGTATATCTTATTTCCCAGTTGCATTTGAAAACAATTTTTAGCATTTGTTTTTAAAACTTTGGGTTCCAAATTTTCTCCCTTCCTCCCCCCCACCCCCACCCTCATTGAGAAGCACCTTTCCTTCAAAGTGTTTTACTGTTTAATTCATTTTGAATAGCTCTACAGAAATTTATATTTAAGGAGTGTCAATCTAGTCTCTTTATCTGCTTTATCACTTCAACTGGTGGGCCACTGGTGCTTCCTCAATCAACCAATCAATCTATCATAAAAGGGTTGGGCCAGATGGCCTAAGATGTCCTCTCCAGCTCTATTCTAATGATCAATGATCAATATTTATTCAAAACTGACTATAGGGAAGGCACTTTACCAGGCACCATTTAGTTTACTTGAGAAAATTTCAATTACAGCACTCAGTTCCAGAAAACAGTTCAAGCAATGACTCTGTAGAAGTCCAATTAGAAAGCATATTATAATTATTAGTGAAAATTCTGAGGATCTCTCCCTTCCCACATTTTATCAGCAGGAAGACAAGATGGTTTTCAGCAGAATGAGGAACTGTGGCTTTGTTCCAAGAAATAAACTTGAAATAGGACTTCTGTCAGAATCTAGATATTTCCTTCACAGCAGGCCTCATCATATTATATTCTTCCCAAAGAAAGATTGATAATAACCAATTAAAAATACAGTCTTCTAGGGCCCTAGTTAGGCAGATTTTGAAATAACTGCAGATCCTGACCATTCTGTAGCATTGCATAGTAAAATGGGCTTCATATTAGCTCTCAGTGGCTTACTGGGACAAAATGAAAATCCAATGATAAGAAGGTGAACCCACACCTATCAAATTAAAATTAAAATATGATTACTGGGTTTGTGTTGCCACTTGATTTGCATGTTTAAATACCACCAATGCTAATTGTACTTGTTTGTTTGTGCATATCAAGTGGAGAATAAAGCCCTTAGGGATGTATTTTTTAAAATCTTATGCCATTTTTTTTTATCATCTGAATCACTGCATCTTAAAAGATTTTATAAATCAGTTCCCACTGCTAGAGTTTCATGGTGTAAAAGTGAATAAAGATTCAGTACACTGCTAAATCAGATTAAGATTCTACCTTAAATAGGATTTTAGAGCTTTCGATTTCTTTTCTAAAAATCTTTTAAGTGGAATAGAAAGCCAGCTCCAATATGCAGGTTAAATTTATTGGTAAAATAGAAAATTAAATTAATTAAAGTGATTCCCACACCTTCTTGTCTCATGGAATACTAAATTTTAATGGTTCATGGTATCTGCAGAGGTAGAGTGGAAAGGACTTTTAACTTGAAATCTAGAGACCTGAATTTGAATAGGAGCTCTAATGTTTACTAGGTGAATGACTTCAGGTAAATCACTCAACCCTCTGAGCCTTAGTTGCCTTATGTAGAAAATGTTTGTACTCCTTTCATCATAGGGCTATGAAGAAAGCATTTCAAAACTTCAAAATATTCACTACAAAAATTGTGAGCCATTCCTTTCAAAAAGAAGAAACAAAGGGTGAGTACAAAGAGACTATTGTTGGTGTTGAGATTATCTAGGGATATCAAGAGCAAGAGATGAAGGTCCTGCCTGAATGAATTGACCCAAGCCTACTTTCAGGTTTATTATTTATTAATAAACCTTTACAAGGTTTACTAAAGATGCACCACATTGGACAGACCCTTACAGAATCTGAGAATTGGCTAGATTTTTAAGAATTTGAGCATTTGTATGGCTAATGCAGTGGGCCAGATTTTAAAGAATCTGAGCACCTTAATGGAGGCCAGATGGACCTTATATATAGAAAGTCTGTGGGAGGGATCCAAGAGTGGCCAAGTAGTTTGGGGTGATTGAAGGAGGGGTCTGGGAGAAGGGGTCTAGGCAGGATCTTGATGGGAGTGACTGTACTATCAAGAATGGGATCGATATAAGATCAAGGGTGGGAAGTGGCTGGGGGGATAGGGGGGCAATAGGGAGGTAATAGACAATGAAAGTTGGGCTTGGTTGAGGGTGACTGAGAATTGGGAGATTGGACATAGCTGATAATGGAAGGCAAGTTGATAGGATTATAGCTTCAGGCAAATGGTAGAGACTTCCTTGACCAAGTGGGAGTTCAAGGAGAGTCCAAGGTGGGGTTTTCTAGGGCCTGCAGACAAATGGGACCCAAATTCTTTTTGGGTTAAGGGGCAAAGGCCTTAGTTTAGGCTAGTATCCCATCATTGGGAAGTAGAAGTGGGAACTTAATCTATGACCTTTGGCAATTTAACCTTCTGAGCCTCAGTTTCCTCAATTGTGAAATTTAGGAAATTGTACTAGCTATTCACTGAGGTCCTTTTAATGGGGTATAGGCACATGCCCCAGCCCCTCATCTTCCTTTGAAAGCCTTCTACCTTTTAATCTTATTCAGATTGCCTTGGCCCTAAAAGAATCTGGCTTCCATTTGTCTACAGACCCCAGCTGTTTATCTGCCTTTGAGAGCCCTAGCCCCACCTTTTTGATCTCATTCAGATTCCTTTCAGTTCCCTTCATTATCTATTCCTGTAGTCTATTCAATCTCTCAAACATTCCAATCAGAATTCTTACCTGTACCCTTTTCCCAGCTCCCTCCTCTGGCTACCCAAAGTTACTTCAGCATATATAAGATCTACCCTGGCCCCCATTCAGATGCTGAGAATCTCTGAAGCCCAAAAGGCTGAGCTTTTCTCATGCCCCCTCATACTTACAGGCATCAACTGGCCTATGTGATTTATCACTAATAAACTTTTCCTCTGGCTGGAAGAAGATTTGAGTTGAATTCTTGTAGGCAGGGCCCGGCGTCGCAATCTCGGGGGTTCCCAGCAACACCCACAACCCTCTAGACCTCTACACTTTTAAGTCCTAAATCTTATGAACATTAGACTTATAAACACTTAACCATATCATGGTACTTAGGGGGGAAAAAACCAGCAACAAATGGAGACTAAATGAAATAACACTGAAAGGGATTCGTGAATCTAATAAAGTCCAGATTATGAATTTTAAGAGTTTAGGGAATTTTCCAACCCCTTCTTAGGTAAGTTTCTTTAGATCCCACTATACTTCAGTTAGATAATGTTCTCTAGACGCATAAGGCTATACTAATTTGCTTTACTCATTCTCAGATTGTTGAGGTCTAGAGGTGCCGAGACCCCAAAATCACAACACATAGGTCCTGTCCGAATGAATTCGACCCAAGTCTTCTTTCAGCCAAAGATAAGGCTTATTAAAGATCTGCTATATTGGCCAGATTCTTAAGTCATCTGAACATTGTGAGCCGTTGGCTAGGTTCTTCAGGAAACAGAGCAGTGGCTAGATTTTAAGAATCTGAGCACCTTAATGGAGACAAGATGGACCTTATATACAGAAAGACTATGGGAGGGATCTAGGAGTGGCCAAGTAGTTTTGGGGGTGTGTATTGTGAGGTAATATAATGCCAGAGACTGGGACCTTGACCACAGTGGCCAAGGGAGAATGGAGCCTAGATAGGATTAAGGGTGGGAAGTAGCCTGGGGCCATAGGGAGGTAAGACAATGGAAGGCGTGGCTAGGTTAAGGGTAACAGAGAATTGGGAGATTGGGCATGGGAAGATAAGGAAAGGCCAGGCCATGTGAGAAAGTCTAGGATTTTTCATTTCTAGGGTCCAGATCCCAACCCCATCAAGATCTGGTCAATTTCTGAGACTCTTCTTTCCTCACTTTTCTCTCATCCAAAGGTTGTTTTTGTTTGTTTGTTTGTTTTTTGGGGTTTTTTTTTTTTGGTACTGTGGTCCATTGCCTCAGGATATAATGAAATAGCTGGTTGTTAATCTAATAAACAAATTTATTGCTTTAATGTCACCCCTAATTAGATGATGTCCAAATCTATATATTTATCCCCAAACTCTAGTCCTGTATTTCTAACTATTGGCTGCACATCTTCCCCTGACTGTCCCTTCAGATTCTCATATTAACATGTGCAAAACGGAACTTATCTTTCCCTTTCCCCCATACTTGACCATTTTCCAAATTTCTTTATTCCTTCTGGTGGCACCACCATCCTCTTAGTTACCCAGATTCAAACCTTCAAAGTCATCTTTGACTCTTCCCTCCCTCCCATTTCATGGCCAAACCCTATTGTTTCTTTCTCTGCTGTATCTCTTGTATCTACCTCCTCCTCTTCACTGTTATCTCAACCATTTTCTTACTTCTCCCTTAGATTTTTAAAATAGCTCCCTGTTTATCATGCCTCTATTTATCTCCTTTCCAAGATACTTTCCATTCCACTGATCAAGTGATCTTACTGAGAAACTGCTATAATTGTTTGTTTATTTGTATAATTGTATAATTATTTGTATAATTGTTTGTTTCTTTTTTTATCACTTGTCTACTCAAAAACCTGCAGTGGTTCCCTGTTGCCAACTGAATAGGATAGAAACTCCTAGTTCTGTCATTCAGGGTACTCATTAACTTGGTTCTTACCTAACTTTCCAGGTTTATTTCACTTCTCTCCCCTTCATGTTTCAGTGTCTTACCTTCCATTCCTCTTCATCCTGCCATGTCCTGTCTATAGTCTTTGCTCATTACCTTCCCTCAGGCCTGGGCATACCAACTAGATAGTGATACAGTAGATAACGTGTTGGGCCAGGAGTCTAGAAGACTTGATTTTAAATCTGACCTTAGATGGTTCTTAGCTGTGTGACCTTGGACATCACTTGATCTCTCTTAGCCTCAGTTTTCTTACCTGTAAAATGGGGATGATAATAGCACCTACCTCACAGCATTGTTGTAAGGATCAAATGAGATACTATTTGTAAAAAGTGCTTATCAGAGTGCCTGACACAGTCAGGACTGTATAAATGCTTATCCCCTTCCCCTTTGCTTCCCCCCATGCCTGAAATAGATTACTTCTATACTTGTCATTGTCTGTTGAAGTCTTTCCCTTTTTCCAAAGCCCAGATGAGATGCCATGAAGCCTTTCTTCATTACCCCAGATGAAAGTTGTACATTCTCTTCAAATTTCTCATAATACTGCCTAGATCTCTCATTTGAACTTAATCTGACTTATCCTTGAATCATAGTTTGTATATGTATATGTATACTTGGCATTCTTACTAATCATTAAATTACAAGTTACATTAGAGCAGAACTTGCATTATATCTTTTATTATATACACAATGTCTTGTTTTGTGTAGGCGACTGTATATCCCACTTTTGTGAAATGTCATGTAAAATATATTTGGGGGAATAAATGTATAATGCTATTGATAACTTTTAACCACTGTCAGTTCCCAGACTGTCCAAGTTCATAGAGGCATCAGCATGGTATACTAGAAAGAATATTGGATTTGGAGTCAAAAGATCTGGTTTTAACTTTCAGTTATGATATTTACTATCAGTGAATTTAGGCAAATCACTTCACCTTCCCTGGCCTCAGCTTCTTCAGCTGTGAAATGAGGGGCATATTATGGAGGAATGTGTGATGATGTAGGTGATAAAGTAGATAGCTTCCTTAGTACCTCTTCTGACTTTGGGTATCTTTGATTCTACATTATAGACTTGTGAGAGAAATGTGTTGTAAACCACAGTAAATTGGAGGAACTGCCAAATGATTGTGGCCATGATGGTGAAGGACGTTAAGACCATGTTTTATGAGGATCATTTGAAGGAACTGGGAATATTTAACTTGAAGAAGAGACAAGTTAGTAGGTTATGTAATTGTCTTCAAATATTTAAAGAGCTGTCACTTGGGATAAGATTACAGACATAATGGATAAAAATTGCAAAGAGGAACATTTAAGCTTCATGTCAGGAAGGACTTCTTAACAATTATAGTTGTCCCAAAGTGGAATGGATGGCCTTGGGAGAGAGTGGATTCTGCTATCTCCAAGTGGTTCAGTAGGCATCTTTAAATGAAGGTTGGAGATGTTGTAGAAAAGTTTCTTGATCAGGTGTGGATTGGACTAGATGTTTTCTAAGTCCTTACCAAATGAAGTAGTATATGTAGAGATCTTTGCAAACTTTAAAGCTCTGTATAAATGCAATCTATTATTATTCCAACTCTTACATTTGGTGATTCTATGATAAAGCTAAGCTATTATCATTAGTAATGTGTAAGTTTGCATTCATCCTGTGTACATTTTCTAGTTCAGAAATGGAGTTCTAAACTGATCTCTGAAGGACAGGCTAGGAATCCAAGGTTTCCTGTATATAAACTATAAAGTAGATATGAAACACTTAGAAAAATTAAGAGCCGGCTTAATCAACAGGTTACACAGTAAATGAATAAATAGTCCTCTAAAAGTTTGTGGAAAACATCCATCTTCCCCCTACTGGTAATATTGAATTCCACCATCATATCTTTTTTACAAAGCATTTGCAGTTGTATCCAAGAACACAGAAATGACATTATTGTATGATGAGGAAGGTGATGATCACACTTACATTGATTCTTCCAGGGATCCAATGAGAATAAATCCTGATTAATAATGCTTGCTGGGGCAGCTAGGTGGCACAGTGAATAGAGTGCCAGGCCTGGAGTCAGGAAGACCTGAGTTCAAATGTGGTCTCAGACACTTACTAGCTGTGTGAACCTGGGCAAGTCACGTAACTCTATTTGCCTCAGTTTCCTCATATGTAAAATGAGCTGGAGAACGAAATGGCAAACCACTTTAATATCTTTGCCAAGAAAACCCCAAAAGGTGTCACAGAGAGTTGGACACAACTGAAAAATGACTAAACAACAAACAACAGTAATGCTTGACTAACTTTAGTGTTAATATGGTTCATTTTATTTCTAAATCATCAAGCCTTCATGAAACATTGTCTTTTAGCAGTTTGTAAATTCAGGTTTGTCAAAATAAAATTTTTCCAGAACCCAAAATGAATTTTTCTTCCTGAAGATAATCATAACTTTGACCTTTGCTTTAATAGAGATGACCAAATTTCTATTTTAGTTTGACAGTATGCCCCACAAACCAGTACAGGCTGTTTTGAAGATACAGTATCCCTACAGGTTATCAGTTGTAGTCGTTTCACTTTCTGAACTGAAATTAATGACCTTATTAATATATTTTCAATTTTCTAAGTGGCTTTTCCATATGTAGTTGGTAAAATCCTCTCAGATTTCACATATCACCTGACTTGCCCCTCACTAATGCATTTATCATGAGAGAGAATACAAGTTGCAAACCTCAGAGCTTCATGAAAATTTTTGTTGTTGTTGTTCAGTCATGATTGACTCTTTGTGACCCCGTTTGGGGTTTTCTTGGCAAAGATACTGGAGTGGCTTGCCATTTTCTTCTCCAGCTCATTTTACAGATGAGGCAACTGAGGCAAATAAGGTTAAATGACTTGCCCAGCATCACATAGCTAGTAAAGTGTCTGAGGCTGAATTTGAACTCAGATCTTCCTGACTCCAGGCCAGGTGTTCTCTCCACTGCACCACCTAGCTGCCCAAATGTTAGCTAAATGTTACCTATTCTCATGCAATGTTGTGTATTAAGGCTAATGATATAGGGTCTTATCCTGTGCTAGACTGGAAATTCCATGAGGGCAACACCATGGCTCAGCCAAACTTTGTGTCTCCTCCAACTTTTGTTGTATTGCTTTTGTGCTATATTTTGTGCTGTATTTGTGCTATATTTTACTATGTTTCATGTATTCACAGGGGGAAGATGGCAGTTATATCCATTATATGAATTTCTTGATTGGTGCTTAGACATGTTAAGTCAATTTAGTAGTTAACTTTTTTTTACCAAGAAAATGTTCCATGAAGGAACAAATGGGAGGACTAGATCATGACAAATATACAAGCAAAGCATTGTTTAAGTTTATAATAATTTGTACTCCATACCCAGACAAAGCTTTTCAAGAAAAACCTCCATTACTTTTATGTTTTGGTGTAAATGGAAAATAGACAATATTGTCACCAATCCAGCAGGCTTTTGCCATGGCAAAAAAAAAATTGTACATTTTCTCACCAGAAAACACAAGCTAAATACCTGGAAAGATGCACTTATATTATTGAAGGATTTTTTTTTTAAATTAAGATTTCTGCAGCAAGGAAAATCAATCTGCCTAGTGATTTAAATTTTTAGTACTTTTTCATAATTAAAAACATTATATGAATTGATTAGACAGGTATTTTTAGAAAAAAATTGACATTGAAATTGCTCAGTAAGATGTCATGAAGTTCTAATAAGATAAGAGCAAAAAGGACCATTTATTTTCAAAAAGAAAGTTTTACATGACATGTTACATATTCACTTCAGTCATTATTTTATGGAAGTGATGATAGCTGAGGAAAAGTGGAGAAGTTTTCATCAGAAAGGAGTTCTAGAACAATGGTGAACTGTTTTAGAAAAAGGAAGAAGAGTTAGCAAGCCTTACGTTTGGTGATCTCCAAGCGGTCTCTGTCCAATGGACTTTAACAACGCCTCTGGTCGGACTGCTACTTTTGGTGAAGTTTTGGGGCTAGAATCAGATTCTCCGCTCTCCTCATCTCCCATGGCTTTAATATAACTCCCACTCCTCATTCTCCTGCAGGGTATCTCCTCATCTTTACCGCCAGTGGGGTACCCTCCCCATTCATCTTGAGGCACCTGGGACATAGCACAAATACACAACACACATATATCTTGTTATATAGAGGGCCTTTTTTTTTTCTGGCTGCTTTTTTCTTCTAAGAATTTCTGCTATCTTTTGAAGACATAAGTCTGTGTGGTTATTTATGAT